CCACACCCACACCCACCCTCAAGATGGTTTTGTAAAAAACCGAAACGTCGAAATAAATGACTTTTAAAAAAGCCGCTGTTGTTCTTTTAGTTTTATTTAGATTTTTGCCCTTAAACAAATTAAATGTTTACATTTCTATTTAGATAATGGTAAAGCAACATCATGCCGAATCATACATAATATTTTAAATAGACATCGATTATTTCTTAAGGGTTAAATTACGGCTACTACAGGAGATGAAGGTGTTAAAGATAAATGGGTAATTACCGAGGACGATGTTTCCTGAAGCAGTATTCCCAGAACTTCCGGTGAAAATCCTCAGGAAACTCACCGTTTCTGGCAGGAACCCTGCCGAAAAGTGCCCGGAATTTCCTCCTGACATCAGTTCCGGACGGAACCGAGCGGATATGGTCACCGGATCCGATCACCGGAATACTGCTTCCATGTTCCTATGAATTTTCCGTGTTTTCCCACGGAATGCCTAGGAAAATCACGGAATCTGGTCGTTTCCTACCGTACGTCTTTGACATGAGTATTTCCATAATAAATTAATTTAATATATTTCTTTTTATTTAGCGTTTAAATATCCGATTGAAAATGTTTAAAAAGCAAGTAAATATATATAAAAAATTTTTTTAAATATAAGTTATCTGTTCTTGTTTTAGCTTGCCGATGAAGAAAAATTATTGAAAGGTGTCTGAATCAAAATAAAAGAAAAAGAAGAGATGATAAAAGATTTGTCGGAAAGGCGCAAACGTTTAAGACATGAAGTGGACGCATGTGTGATCGAAGAAAGTGCGATCAGCGCAAATATTGGCGTGTTAAAAGAAAAGATATAAAGTTTTTAACGTTTTTGTTTGTTTTTTAGCTCGGATTGAAAAACAAGTTGAATTAGAAGAAAAAAATTAATTTGTTTTTTGTATTTTGTTTTTTAATCAAATAAAAAAATTGATTATGAACCTATTTACTTATTTTTATTAAAATTTCCTAGAATGATGAAAGATATTTGAACAATTCTTTTCAAAGAAATATATTTTTAAGTTATTTTTATATTAATTAATCAGAGTTGTTTCAAATGTTTATGTAATAAGATTTTTATTCGAAAAAGTTGTGTTTATTGATTTCACATAAATAACTCTTAAATAAACAAAAATTGAATAATCTTTATTTTAGTATATAGAATATCAAAATTCATTCTATAATATATAATCTTATGAGTATAGTGATAAAACAAAGAAATGGCGAGTCTAACTTTCATGTGAACTATCAAAATAAATACTCATATATTTGAATGATATTATGAAAAATATCAAGTAAGATGATTACGAAATCTTGGAAACATGTAGAATGACAAAACTATCTATAAAATATTTCATCGGAGACAAAAAGTAATTAAAAAGAACATCTGTATAGTAATATCAATAATTACAATGGTATTTATTTAACTTATACAATTGGATTTTTTAATTGAACAATGCAAATGCAAGTTAATATTAAATCGTAAATAGCAATAAGTGTGTATTAAAGATTTATAAAACACTCACGTCTCCAGTTAATTTTAGACTTGAAAAATAAACTGCATAAATAGGTTATTATTTAAAATGTTATACGTTATCTCTCAGAATTTTCCTAATAGACTAATACAATATATTCTTTATTTTTACTCTATTTACACTTATAGTTCGTTTAGAATTGTCATGTTACGATGACCTATATAAAAAGGAAACTTTGTGATCAAGTATCTACTAAAGTTTTTTATTCTAAGTAGATTATTTAATAGTAAGCAAATTCAATGCATAATGATATATCAGTATAATAATTAAAAAAATGATGTTTACTACTACTTAAGAAAAATTTTTTTTCTTTTCAACTTAGATTATATAATGATCATTTGAGTCTATAAAATTCACATAGAACAAGATAATCAATGTAATAAATTCTAATCTAGTATCGTCTATCATATTATTATTTATACCTATAACAAACTTAAAAACAAAGAATGTATGAATTGTTTAAAATATATATACTAAAAGTTTGGTTCGCACTCACCACCTAAGATAGACAATATTTTACTATTGTTTCCAACAGTAATTTTTTCGAAAACTTATTAGAGAATAGAAAATATAGTAAAATTATATTATTGACATTTATTGGTAAATTTGTACAAATATCTTGCAAATAAAACAACAAATGAGGCTATCAATGATAATTATACAGTCGATCATCCGATTATATTTCGTCAATAGAACTTTTAAGATTAGAAGACATGAAGTTGTAGTGTATATTAAAGTATTATATAAATTTAATATTTGATTGTTATAATAAAAAGAATAATAATTATACCACTTCTCTGTATAATTGAATAGCTATTAGAAAAACAACAACATTAGTATCATAAAAAGTAATATCAATATACTACCAAATAAAATACGTAGCCCTAGATTGTGGCTATACGAAGCCCAAATGTAGATACGTGAGATATAATAGTGTATGATAATGTAATAAAAGTTTTTGTGAACAAACGTTGTTCCAAGACTTCTGAAATATTTGAAGTTTGTAAGAGTAGAGTAGGGTGAAGTGGATGTGGTTGTCTTTTTCTCTATTTTCCATCCACACCCACACCCCCACCCGTAAAATATATTTAAATAAATATCGATAAAGCTAAATAACTTAAAAACTAGTGACTTGCGTCCTCTAGTGCATATTTAAATATCATATTCATGTCAATTTCGATTCGTAGATTAAAATAAGCCAATAAAATAACAACTGCTGTCGTTGACAATATGGCGGCGATAATAATTCAAACTATACAGTACATATAGGCATTCAATTTATTCTTCTTTAGATTTAAAATGAAGTCTACATCATTTATGATCAGCATTTTTGTTCTTTTACCAATCTTTTCTTGGTGTGCAACATCAACCGTAGCAAACAATTTACAATCAGCTAATTTAGATGGATTAAAAAATCAATTTCAAACAGCAATGAAGTCATTTTCTGATGTAGCATCATTACATTATGCTCTAGCTGGTATTAAAGAACTTGATGTTCAAGCACCAGATTCATTTTGTAATGATATTAAACGATTAGTTGATAAATCAAATATTGAATCAATATATCACGCAACAGAAGCAGCTAAATCATTAGCTAATTGCAAAGTAAAAATTTATTCGTAACATAATGATTTGAAGAACTAAGAAGCTTATAGACAATAAAATTATCCTTAGAGTCGTTCTTACAATAGTGAAACTTATCATATCTTCGGATTTTATACTAAATAATTTATTTATTTTAGTTACCTGCTGAAGATTATCGTTCAACCATAAGTTCAACAATTCAATCTGATAAAAGTACAACAGCTAATATTTATTATGCCGTTCGTTCAAGTGTAAATCTTGGTGTAAATTTTGATGAAGCAACTATTGAAAAACGTCTTAATTCATTGGCTAAAACTGATGATAGCGTTTTAAGTCAAGGTTATGCATTATTAACCGGTGCACAATTAAATCATGCTATAGCTAAATATTATGCTGATACAATTAATGATCTTGTTCAACAAGCTGATGAAGTTGATGGACGTACATTACAATATGAAGGTGGTGTTGGTGCAACAGCATTAATATTTAATGCTTTTCATGAAGTTTCAGAAAAAGCTGATTCACCAATTAAAATTGATCCGAAACAATTAATGAAATTTGCAAGTTATTTTTCAACAAAACGACATGTTGCAACATTACGTAGTGCTTATTATTTAACAAAAGCATTTAAATATTTATCAGATACTAAAGTTTGTATTCATACATTTTTCTTTTGATTAATTCATAAATATATTTTTTTTATTGTTTAGAATTCAATACCCGTTGTTGTTACACGTGTTAATCCATCGACAATTCATTCACAAAATCCATCCGTACTTATTTCAGTTACAAATCTTTTTGAACAATCTGTCGGAGAAATGACTGTTATGGCTGAATCAGCTAAACGTAAAGATGATGGAGTTGTTGTTGTATCAAAACAAAAACTTACTCCGAAAGCTAGCGATTTGTATGTTTAAATTAAATAGAAACAAAAAACAAAATCGACATATTTCTTATATTTAGTTCTGTTTATGAATTACCATTTTATGATAAAAAAATTCCTCGAGGATTTTATACAATTCATTTAACATTAACACCACGTACCGAAGGAAAATTTATTGGTTTAACAGATATTACCGTTCGTAGAAGAAAATCTTCTTTGTTCAAAATTTCATATTAAGTTTTTGTTTCAGATTGATGTAAAAGTAACATCAGAAGGAACATTAGAAAATGCTGAATTAAATGTTGTAGATCGTGACAATACTGCACAAGCTAAAACATACAAGTAATTTGAAAAAAAAATATAGTAGTTGTTATATATATTTTGATTTTTTTATAGATTAACTTATCCAAATAGTTTATCGGATAAACTTGAAATTGATTATCATCAAAAATTAATCATGAAATTTCAAATAAAAGATAAACAAACACAAGAATTTATTCGTGTTCATCAAGCATTCTTACGTTTTACAAATAAAAAATCAAATAAAGAAGTTATTTATTTAGCGGAACCAACAGATGGTGATAATTCTCTATATAAAGTTGAAGTGGTATGTTAATAATATTTTTCTAACTTCATGATTGTATTATTATCATTATTATTAGGATTTAACAACAAATGCAAATGATTTTCAACATCAATCAGGTGCTTATGAACTTAATTTAATGGTTGGTGATGCTTTATTACAAAATGGATTTTCATGGAAAATAAAGGATACTATTCAATTATCATTTCATGAAGAAAGTGCTGCTGATAAAGATCATAGTAGTTTTTATTCTGCAAAACCAGAAATTATTCATCAATTTCGTGCTGATGAAAAACGACCACCAACAATTGTTTCACTTGTTTTCAGTGCATTAACATTATTACCATTATTAGTTCTTTTAGTTTTAGTAAGAGGATATTATTTGTTTTTTGTAAATATATTAATTTTTCTTTCTCTCGAAATAGTGGGTTACACTTGGTTTCAATCTTTCCGGTTTACCATTAGGACTTAGTCCATTAGGTTTTCATATTTCTCATGGAGGTAAAAATATTAATTTAATAGTTCATGTCTTTTTATTATCAATATTTGTAGCTGTGTTTGCTTTAATGTTTTTCTATTGGAAATATTTGGATATGTTTCAAACAATTCGTTATTTAGCTTTAGTTTCAATTCCATTATTTCTTTTTGGTCATCG